TATCCGGTTTCCGAGTTCCTACTTTCGAGGTTTCCTTTGCCTTTTATTTGCTACCTTTTTTGCGGTTTCCCAGCTTCTTTCTTCTGGTTCTTTCCTCTCCCCCCCCTCCATTATTGTATATATTATTTATATTTTGTATTGATTTCGGTAATGCTACACCGGGCGTAGCAGTCACCACCCCCAGTTCGCATCCGGCGCCTGTGCTTTTGTGTTCGTTGAAATTGTTAACGAACTATGAATTGATCGATTGATCGATTGCCTTCTTGATTTTGAATCCTTCTGAAACCTTGATTTTTACGTATTGTGGATGGTTTTGAATCAGCCTTCCGAGTATTTTCGCTTTTGTTTTATATGGAGATGGATAGTTGGTTTGTTGTGTTAGGCCTAGTAGGGCAGTAAGGGAGGAAGCTAGAGTGAGGCGAATAGTTCTATGAATATTCGAATAAAAACTAAGTTATGTAACTACGAAAATGCAAGAGTGAAGGAAGAAATATATTTCCTCAATTCCCAGTGACCATAACCTTTGGTTGTTGTTATTTTGATATCTCCCTTGAATACTCTCTCATGATATGTTTGTAAAAAAAGGTACGACTTTTTGAGAGGATCAATCAATTTGTTCCAAATACTGTTCTTGATTTTTCTTTACCTTTGGTGCCCCTTTTTGTGTGTGAGTGTGTGTAAACATTATAATAATTAGTTAGTATCGGGTTTTGCCTGGTTCCTCATATCTTGTTTCTTGTATTTGTCCCACCTTTGAACCGTTGCTTCATAACAATCATATTAATAGTAATAGTCGTACGGAATACACCGCAGTACTCCGTACACCGCAGCAGGAATCACTAAATAAACATCTATCTCGGGAGTTGGTTGAGTTTGATCCTGATTCCTGACAGGGACGAGGCTGGGGACGAGGCTGGGGACGAGGCTGGGGACGAGGCTGGCGGCTGGCTGGCGGTGGCTGGGCGAGTCGGTTGCACCACAGACTGGACTTGCTCTGTTCCCAGGTAAACTTTCTCACCTCACACACTTTCTTTCGCCCTTCGCCTTTTCCCCGAGCTAGCTGCGAGGCCTTGGTGGTGAGAGTTACGGAGTAGTTACCTTGCTTTGTATGGGGTTTCTTTTTTTCATTATTTGCTTTTATTGCGCTTTCTCATCGCCCGCAGTGGAGAAATAAATCCCCGATCCAGCACCTCGTTTTTATCCACGCTTCTCGTCCGTTCCAGACTGAGCTGGGGATAGAGAGTAATGCGATTCTCGCGGTTGCTGTGCTGCGGTGTACCCGACGACAATGGCGAAAAGGCCAGCCCTTCTCCACCCCCGGCATACCGCAGCATCGACGGCAATCCAGACGCCTCGAAGCAGTCCCTCCCCATCCCCCAGCACACGCGGATAGCCTTCAACATATCGCCGCCCCCCACACTGCCCAGCGATCCTGATGTGATTGCCGGAAAGGCGAACACCCTCGCTTCCCAGAGCAGGGGGGATTTACGCAGCCACGACAGCCATGACGCCCACGAACACGAAAGGAACAGGGGCCTGCATCGTTCGCGGTACCAGGGCCCGGCGCAGAAGATGCCTGGGAATACCTTCCTCATGCCCAACGGCCAGAAAATCACCCTGAATACCAACGATGACCTTGTCCAGGCGACGCTTGCGGCGGCGCAGACGAGCGATCAGGCCCTGGATCAATGGCTCGATATGGGCTATGGCATTGAGATCAGAGACTCGAAGAAGCGGACGGCTGCCATGTGGGCCGTGCTGCAGAATCGGCCCGAGGCAGTACGGCGCTTGGTCGAGAGGGGTGCGCAGGTGAACCTGGCCACGTCCCAATCATCTACGGAATTGCACCATGCGGTGTCGGAGGGGGATCGGAAGAGGGTGGCCACGCTTCTGCAGTACGGGGCGGATGTCAATGCCGCGGACGAGGATGGCAATACCCCCCTACACTGCGCGCTGAACCGCTGGTTGAAGACGGATCAGCGCGAGGATTTCTCCGTCATCAAGTCCCTGGTGGGCAAAGGGGCGAATCTGGAAGCTCACAACCGGTATGGCAACACGCTGTTCCACGGAGCATGCATCTACGCTGATGGGGTGCGC